GTGGGTGCCCCCACCCTCTGGAACGAACTACCCCCCGAGATCCGGACGATTCCGGACCTCCTATCTTTTCGCCGCGCCCTCAAGACATGGCTTTTTCAACAAGCGGGTCTGGCCTAGGGAGAATTTTAAATAGGGACAATTTTAATTTGAATCTTAATAACTATACAGCGACAAATATTTGGTTTTTAATTGGTTTTATAGGGGATGGCGTTTGTATGTTTTAATATGCTGTAAGCCGCCCTGAGTCCTATAGGGAGAAGGGCGGCATATAAGTTTATGTAAATAAAATAAATAAAATAAATCCCACCCATGTACATGATTCTCACGCCTGCATGAGATTTCCCTGGTGCAAAAGCCGATTACAAAAAGCAACAGTTAGACCAGGGGTAGGCAACCTTGGCTCTTTTATGACTCGTGGACTTCAACTCCCAGAATTCCTGAGCCAACATGGCTCAGCTTGGAAACCTCTCCCTTTCCCCTCAGCATGGCTGGCTCAGGAATTCTGGGAGTTGAAGTCCACGAGTCATAAAAGAGCCAAGGTTGCCTACCCCTGAGTTAGACTAACAATTTCCCTTTGTTCCAGAACCCTTCACTTTCATCCTCTTACAAATATCCTTCTGAATCAGAAGGTGGCTCTTTTTCTGCTGTGCTTTGAAAAACAGTTGCTGGCTTGTGCCAGATCAAGAGGTCTGTCCAGGTCACCTGCCAAATTTCATTTCGTGGTAAGCAAAGATCCATTCGACTCCTGTGCTCCATTCCTTCTGCTTCACAATGGGTTTTTTTTTCCCTGCGCATTCACCGATGGAGCAATGAAAGGATGGACTTTGGTGTGTGTGTGTATGTGTTTTTAAGCCAGCCAAAATCAATAAGAGTAACCCCAGCTTGCAGTTTCTGGATAGCACTTGTATGTTAGCCAAAGCGCTTTGAGATAATTTACTTTTTTCAGAGCTTGCACCTTCAGACCTTTTTTCCACACAACCCTACCTTCTCCCGGAATGAAGGGATTGATTGGCAGAATGCTCGGTGTGAAAAAGCTTCCCAGTGTATCAAGTATCGAAGCATGCTTTTGCTGGTGCGACAATTATTGCTTCTCAGCTTGCCAATGATAGAAGTAAAAGAAAGGTCATCAAAATTTAATATTGAAAGAGAAATTTAAAATTGAATTTGCTGCAGTGGAAATTTACTGAGTAGAGAAAAAAACCTATAATATATGGGAACCAGGAAAAGAGATCATAAAGAAAGGAAGTAAAATAAACACATGGGCAAAAATAGCTGGGTCTTAGAGTGGGAAAAGGAAGAAGACAAACTATAAAAAAATAACTGTAAGAGGAAATGGCTAGCCAGGAAAGACACTGAATTGAAAAACAGGAAAGAATGTATTGTTCTAAATGGGGACATAAATATCCACAGAGTTTAAAATAACCATTTAAATGTCCAATTTTTCTTATTATTAGTGTATATGTGAACATGATTTAATATGTTATCAGGAAATGTGTGAGAGGCGGTCGGAAAGCGTGTAACCTCATAGTACCTCAGCCAATGGGGAAAGAGGAGGGATGTGTGGCCGGGACAAGGATTGTATAAAGAAGGAAATATTTTGGGTTGGAACTTTGGAGAGAACCAAGCTTTGATAGCTTCTCTCCCTGCTTATTGCAATAAACGAAACAAAAGGCCTTCACTGTGTCTTGGATGGTTGTTGATCAGGTGAGCTTGCCTCTGGTCACGAAGGAAAGTAGCCAGGAGCACATAACACCAACAAGCTTGGGAGGGAGGGAAAGGATTGGAATGCAGACTTCAAAGATTAAGAAGCCAGACCATAAGAGCCAAGGACGGTTCACCCAGCACCTGGCCAGGCCAAGGATATTTTCTCAAAACAATATTTTTGCATTTAATTGGACAATGTGACATGGTCAAGAGGGAAGAGGAAGAATTCTGTGCTTTTACTATATGGGGACGGGTGGGGTCTTGCCAGAGCTGGTTTCGCTTTCAGTCGTGCTGAATTGATGTACTCAATAAAGTTTTACATTAAGAGATCGGAATGTCTCAAAGATGTCTACTCTGTTGGCTTTGTCGGTCGGAATCTTGACATTGCATTTATAAACTATGGACATATTTGAACTATATTTGAACTACATTTTTAATTTCTGTCTAAAAAAAGATCTCCCTGCTCCCCCTACCTCTCCCCACAACAATTTAAAAAAAAACCAAAGTCTTCATTACTGCAACATGCTGTCGGGACTGCTGCCAGAACAGATGGAAACACCCATTTGATTTTCTTTTGGAAAATAAGGCACAAGGAAAACAAAAGAGCTGCCTTGATCCTGAAAAAGGTTATTTATTTATTCATTCCAGTATATATTCTTTATAAAAAGTCTTTGACTATTATAAAAAGTCAAACAAGGATTAAAACAGATTTAAAATGGGTTAAAAATAGGTTAAAAATAGGTTAAAAATGGGTGAAAGTAGGTTAAAATGCAAGTGTTAAAAAAGGGTTAAAAGCTAAAATAAAAAGAAAATAAAAGAAAAAAAAGCTTTTACTTTTGGAGGAGCTCTTTACAGCCTTTGCTTCCTGTCCACCATCTTGGCTCCTCCTACTAGCTGACTATGATACACTAGTCAGCAACTAAAGACATTGCATGATGGCTTCACACAATACCTGAACACCATTTCTTTGTCTAGTTTTAACAACTCACAAGTTGTAGGAGAAGAGCAGGAGAGCAATGTCAGACACAAAGAATCCGAACCATCCTTCAGCTATTTATTTATTCAATTTCTATAGCCACCCACTTCAGTCAATGACTCTGGGTGGCTTACAGTTCAAAAAAAATGTATTACAAACAAGGCATTAAATTGTTTGTAGTATTTAACGTTTAATATGTTAGTATGTATAAAACCACAATCCTCCTTAGTTTCCCAGAAATTCATTCTTTCTGAGCTATTCCGGAAAACATGAGCTGAATCCTTAGGCTTCATAGATTTCCTTGATGTCATCTGTCATGAAAGAAAAGTTAGAAAGTAAGTAAGAAAGTAAAAACAGCTCAGATCAACTGATAAAAAACAAAATTTAGGGTGGCATTAAGCAGAATGCCCAAATGAAATAACTCTCTCCTCACACACAAACATAATAATGATAATAATGAAGATAATGGTGATAATGATGATGATAATGATAATGATAATAATAACAATAATAATAACAACAAAAAGAATGATGATGATGATGATGATGATGATGATGATGATGATGATGATGATGATGATGATGGTAACAACAACAACAACAACAGCAATAATAATGGAGTTGGACGGGACCTTGGAGGTTTTCTAGTACAACCCCCTGCTCAGGCAGGAAACCCTATACCATTTCAAATGGTTGTCCAGTCTTTTCTTAAAAACTTCCAGTATTGGAGCATTCACAACTTCTGGAGGCAGGTTGTTCCACTGGTTAATTGTTTAACTGACAGGAAATTTCTCTTTATTTCTAGGTTGCTTCTCTCCTTGATTAGTTTCCATCCATTGCTTCTTGTCCTGCCTTCAGGTGCTTTGGAAAATAGCTTGACTCCCTCTTCTTTGTGGCAGCCCCTGAGATATTGGAACACTGCTATCATGTCCCCCCTGGTCCTTCTCTTCATTAAACCTAGACATACCCAATTCCAGCAACCCTTCCTTATATGTTTTAGCCTCCAGTCCCCTCATCATCTTTGTTGCTCTTCTCTGTACTTTTTCTAGAGTCTCAGCATCTTTTTTACACCGTGGTGACCAAAACTGGATGCTGTATTCCAAGTGTGGCCTGACTAAGGCATTGTAAAGTGGTATTAATACTTCACGTGATCTTGATTCTATCCCTCTGTTAATGCAGCCCAGCACTGTGTTGGCCTTTTTGGCAGCTGCAGCACACTTGAACACTGGGCGCTATCTAACAAAATGAAATTCAATGGTGAAAAAAGCAAGGTTCTACATTTAGGCAAGAAAAACCAAATGTACAGCTATAGTATAGGGGGTACCTTGCTCAATAGTAGTAACTGTGAGAGGGATCTCAGAGTCCTAGTGGACAATCATTTAAATATGAGGCAGCAGTGTGCTGCAGCTGCCAAAAAAGCCAACACAGTGCTAGGCTGCACTGCAGAAACTGGACATCCATTTGTCCAAAATGGTATAGGGTTTCCTGCCTGAGCAGGGGGTTGGACTAGATGACCTCCAAGGTCCCTTCCAACTTTATCATTATTATTATTATTATTATTATTATTATTATTATTATTATTATTATTATTATTATTATTATTATTATTATTATTATTATTACTGCTGGCTCATATTTAAGTGATTGTCCATTAGGATTCCGAGATCCCTCTCACAGTTGCTATTATTGAGCAAGGACATATTATCCTGAAATAAGCCAGAGAAGTAACTATAGGTAGTCCTCGATGTACGACCACGATTGAGCCCAAAATTTCTCTTGCTAAGCGAGTTAGGTGAGTTTTGCCCCATTTTACAACCTTTCTTGCCACAGTTGCTAACTGAATCACTGAAATTGTTAAGCTAGTGACCCGGTTGTTAAGTGAATCTGGCTTTCCCAGTGATTTTGCTCATCAGACGGTCACAAAAGGTGATCACATGACCCTGGGATACTGCAACCATCATAAATATGAGCCAGTTGCCAAGTGTCCAAATTTTAATCACGTGACCACGGGGATGCTGCAATGGCCATAAGGCTGAAAAACGGTCATAAGCCACTGTTTTCAGTGCCGTTGTAACTTGGAATGGTCACTAAACAAATGGTTTGTGGTCGTAAATTGAGGACTACATGTACCTAAAAACATTTGGGCCAATGGCAACTCATGCTTTACCTGTACTGCAGGGGGCAGTGTACTCGGCTGTAGCAAGTTCACCTGAAATGCAAAAAAGAAAAGAATGTCAGGGCTGAGGTGTGTCTCTCCTAGACTTTGATCTGTATTGGATGGTTCATGATACTGCTCCAGGAATACAAAGGTGCACAAAGGGGGACTGCAGGGTCTGCAGGATTGTCTGGGATGCTACACATTGTCTTCACAACCCGTTTTCCTTGTTGCCTTCTGGGAGGGGGATTCGTGGTATCCGAATCAGAACATCCAGATTCAGCCACAGTTTTGTTCCATATAGCATCAACCTTGTGAACTCTCAAGTTTCTTCTTTCCGCTATGTGTTCAAAATGGACAGTGATTAATATATATATGTGTGTATGTTTGTGTGTGTGTGAATATATATATATGGGTGTGTGAATATATATATATATATATATATATATATATATATATATATATATATATATATATATATATATATATATATAT